AGTAATATCCTAACCATAGGAACGTAATATCCTAATATAATAAACAAACTTTATTATATGTTATAAGTAGCATTAGCTATATAAATTATTAGAAATATAATCATTTCTCTTCCTTGTTACACTATTCCACGATACTCTGTTTATTTTATCACTTTTCGTCTCTTCTCATTGTATTATTCCGCGATATATACTCTTATCCGCGCGATATATATTTCTTATAACCTGTGCGCGAGTGAACCCGGGAGCGCGAATTGAGTGAGCAACGGACACGATAGTGTTTTGTAAAAAAGGCAGTCAATTTATTAAGAACAATAAATAGTTAACAAGTTCTTTGTCGATAAGATTTATGCTAATCTTAACCGAGTGATTGCTCCGGCGATCGACCGGGAGCGTAACGATAATCTCCGCGAGCGACGTATATATCGCGAGTACCGCAAGCGACGCTATAAACGGCGCGATTCCGCGAGCGACGGAATAAACGGCGCGTTTTAACAACGAGAGATTAATCGCGAGCGACGAGAAATCTCTTTTAGTCTAATCGTGAACTTCGCGTTTCGTAAACGAGCGTACGAATTAGAAAAGCGAGCGACTTTTCTATAGCGAGCGTTTAAACGATATAAGCACACACTGTCACGGATGAATCTCGATCGAGTGCGCCCGGCGGTTCCCCGAGAGAGCTTTTATACAACCGTTCTTTTTGTGTTCTAGAATTTTCTACGTGTTTGTCTCAAAAGATCGCGCCGGTTGTTGTTTGCGATGATTAGTTTAAATTGAACGTTATTATTGCAATTTGTTTGTCGTTTTAGGCTCTCCCGGGTGACCGCATCAATAGGCACGAGCGATGCCGCGGGCCTGGCGCGATTCGCGTAGCGCCGCTGTTGGATCGCGCTCCTATTTGTCGCGCGCCGGGCGACGCGCGTGATGGCTGCTGACGCGCCAAATTTCGAGCGCGGTTAATCGGCGCTTTATTGTAGTGGTCGTTATCGCGGCTAATTGCTATTAGTAATTATTTTGAGTTCGATTTCGAACAATTATTTAAATCTGTCATTTATCGACGTAATTACATTATATATAATCAATAAAATCATCAATTAAAAAAATATCTTGTTTAAATCATATGATTGAAAACTTACAGTTTACCCAGAAATACCACAACGCACAGGAAAAATCAATAACATAGAGAAATTCGATGCAGAATATTTTGATATTTCCTTCGATGAAGTCGCCGTGATGGATCCTATGGGTAGAATGTTATTAGAACATACCTATGAAGCTATTATCGATGCAGGAGTAAATCCGAAAGATATACGTGGGACAAAAACTGGAGTTTTTATCGGGGCATGTTTTTCTGAATCGCAAGGAAATTGGTTTTACGAAAAATTGCAGGTACAAAATGCTACTAATGAGTACTACAATCAATAAAGTAGTTCAAATTTATGCATTACTTGTAAAAAAATTTTGTTTGATAATATATTTATATATATATATATATATATATAACATTGTATAAAAATAATTCATTTTTTCGATAATAATATGTATGAGTATTATAATATAAGCAATAACAAGTTCTCTCTAAACAGTTTATATATATGTATTAGGTATCAGGTCCTATAATTCTTGGATGTAGCAAGGCTATACTGGCAAATCGAATATCTAACTGGTTAGGTATAACAGGTCCGTCTTATCAAATCGATAGCGCTTGCAGTTCAAGTCTCTTTGCTATGGAGCATGCTTATAGAAGTATGCGATCGGGGGAGTGTGACGCCGCTATCGTCGGTGGTGCAAATCTCTGCTTACATCCCAATTTATCCTTGCAATTCGCACGACTTGGTATTGTTCCTCTTTGAATGTTAAAAATTTAAACTATAAGAGATATATAAATTCGAAAACAATTTAAAAATATATACTCCAATATATTACAATATATGTATATTATGATTCATAACTGTTTTGATTCTAGGAGTTTTATCGCTTAACGGAATTTGTAGATCTTTCGATGAAAACGCAAACGGTTATATGCGTAGCGAAACAATCGATATAGTATACCTGCAAAAAGCAAAGAAAGCTAAGAGAATTTATGCAACCATTGTGTATGCCAAGACAAATTGTGACGGATACAAAGAACAAGGCATTACTTTCCCGTCCAGCAAAATGCAAGAAGCTTTGCTTCAAGAGTTTTACGATGAATGCAGTATATCACCATCTTGCTTAGCTTTTATGGAGACTCATGGTCCCGGTACCAAAGTTGGCGATTCGGTAGAAATTAATGCAATTGAGAAAGTTGTCTGCAAAAATAGGAAGACTCCATTGTTAATTGGTTCTGTCAAGTCAAACTTGGGTCACTCTGAAGCTGCTGCAGGTTTATGTCAAATTGCTAAGGTAAAAAATATAAATTATAATATGCACTGTAAAGTATTCCAATAATTTATCTCATTGTTAGTGCGAAAGACATCATATACGAGTATATAGATCTATTAATTATTTAACTAAAGCTAA